GGAGCTGGAGAGTTTCCAGGACCATCATCAGCCTCACCCCACTCTGCATAATAACAAAGCTATCCCCCTCATAGTCACCTGGGGGACTCCATGGAACTGGAAGTACCTGGTTCCCCTTCTTTATGGTCTATCACTGTAAGTCCATTCCTTTGGGTCATTTCTGAACTTGCAGTTTCTCAGAGTTGGGGGAATTGGCTTTCTCTTTAGACTAGTATTTGAAGCCACCAAACAAAACCAGTGATTAGACTGACTTCCAGTAGGATCTCCAAATCATTCATTTATTATTTCCTTTAGAGCTTCTTCTCTGAAGAGCTCACTGTATCTTTTAGTAAGATTCCAGGAAATCATATTACAAGTATCTCAATAACTAGATTCTAGGAAAAATTGGACAAGTTCCTTAAAGGCCCACTGTCAACATGAAATATTAACTCACTTTCTCTCTCTCTCTCTCTCTCTCTCTCACACACACACACACACACACACACACACACTCTTTATTCCACTTTCAGGCCACATTACCTTGACACCATAGACCAGAATCATGCTATGATATGACTTAGAGTTCAGTGGTACCTTGTGGAACCTCTAGTCCTAATTTCTCATTTTGCAGTGGAGGAAATTGAGGTCCTGAGAAGTTAAATAACTTGCCCAGGGTAGTATGGGGAGTAATTAGCAGAACTGGACTTTGAAGCTAAGTTGTCTGACTCTAAATCTAATATTTTTTTCCAATATACCTATGACAATGGGGGGCGTCAGAGGAGTACCACTGATCTAGTCTGAAGCATATGGTGCATGCTCACTGGTCCTTGTAGTGGTCAGGCCCCTTGCTAAAGAAAATCCAAAACCAGAGGTTTCTGATTGGTCCCTACGTGACTCCCCCTGGATTGGCCACTGAGCAGCAAGGTTTGCCTGAGTGATAGAATTTAAAGGGAGGGGCAACATCCACTTTCACTCTCCTTTTCCTCCCTTACCAAGGTGTGGTCTGGAATTCTGAGAGCTCTTGCTTAGAATCCTCTGCTGATGAGGGAAAGGGAGAGGAATAAAGGGGGGAAGGGGAGGAGTGTTGCCCCCTTCCCCCACCTCTGGCAGCTTTAGTAGTTACACACACATGGCAGAAAGAATCTGAGCTATCTAGGTAAGCCTGAGACCCTCCAGCTGTCCCGAATGCATTCTGATTTTGTTTTTGTTTCTCTGAGCACAGATGCCCAAACAGCAGTCCTGAGACAGGCATTTCCAGCCCTGGTGGCTCCTTTGTGGACTTGAGGGGTCTGAAGTCATTAAGAAGTCCAGGTGAATTGCAGTGGGAGGTGCTTCTTACAGCTTGGACCCTTCTCTCTGAAGAGAAGGTAACCACAGCCAGGAGAAGGAGCTCTGTCTCACTAGAAATATGGATCTTGAGGGAGTAGCTCAGTACAGAGACAAAGTAGAAATGAAATGGCTGTTCTAGGCTTGTTGACAAGCATTTCTTAAGCATTTACTATGTACCAGGCATAGCACTAAACAGAAGAAATGCAAGCAGAAACAAAAACAAAAAGCATAGTCCCTGCCCTCAAAGAGCATACATTCTAATGGACCATGACAGGGTAGAGGAAAAAATCCAGAAAGTCAGGAGCAGAGCCAGGAAAAGAGTGAAGGAGTGAATTTGGCTGACTTCGGCCTTTCCTCGAAATGCAGGTTCCAGGGGAAACTCGCCAATGGTGGGAGGGTCCCTCAAAATGTTTCATGTTTTGATATTTTAAGTACCAATCTGCCAGGCAAGTGTAATAAATGTTTCACTTTAAGTTTTTGTCAATGCATACTTAGCAATCTTCTGTGTGTTGAGTATTTCTGTTGTGGTAGGAGAAATAAATAGGTGTCCTATGCCTGACATAAGTAGTACATTGAGTATCTTTCTAGAAGGAATTCTAACTATCCTTTTGAGGCAGACCCTCGACTTGAGTCATACATAAGGTTTAGATGATTATTCCCTGGGGCTCTGGGTGGTGGCATAAAAGACTAGAAGCCAGAAGTCCTCCCTTTAGAAATTAGCCTTCCTCCATAGTGAATATGGTCCCTGTGAGTCTAGAATTGGATCCCCTCAATGGGAGAAAGAATCCCTGATCCCTTGTTCTAACAGGTTTTGGGTCCAGCACTATCTTTCCTACTCTACAGTACACTGCCATCCCACTGGTAAGGCTTCTAAGACAGCAACAATCTTACATTTTAACATCATCTGGGTGTTTCTGAATAAGGAAGCCAGTTTACGTTTTTCTCTCTTGGTATCATAGAGTAATGGAAAGACTGCTGAATTCGGAGTCATAGGACATGAGTTAATAACAACAATAATAAAAAATAACAATAGTTAGCATTTATATGGTACCTTAAAGTTTGCAAAGCACTTTATGATTATTATCTCATTTTATCCCCAAAACAACACTGAGAGGTGGGTGTTATTATTATCACTATTCTGCAGACGAGGATACTGAGAAAGAGATTAAGTGGCTCGTCCAGGGTCACACAGCTTATTAAATGTCTGAGACGGTATTTGAACTCAGGTTTACTGTCTCCAAGTCTAGGGCTCTACCCATTATGCCACCTAACTACAACTGAAATCATTAGATTGCTGCTTACTAGAATTTGGTCCTTAGAAAATTACTTAATCTCTCTGTACCTTAATGACCTCTTCTATAAAACAAAGATATTAATGTTTACATACCTGCCTCACAAGATTATTATCAAGAAAGCACTCTGAACTATAAAGCTAATATAAAAAGTGAACTGTTATTTGTAATGACATTGCTACTTTTGGTTACCTGTTGGGGCTTTGGTATTGGCTTTCTTGCTCTCCCGGTCTCCCTTCACAGCCCAG